ACAGCGAATTTATTCGACTCGAATCGAATATTGTCCACGAATTCGCCGAATCAGTCGAATCGAATTTTTCATTTCTTCGCTCATCTCTAATTATAATGCTTATCTGTTCACTGCAACATATATTTAAGTCAACAATGGACAAAATGAACAGAGATGCATTGATAAATTGCAGTGCATTAATGCAGTCTGAACTACCCTGTTAAACTTTGTGAATGCTCATAACTCAGCAGAAAAAGGTTTTGAGCATATGGTGACCCACTAATTAGACCATGCATTAGCAACATTTGCAGTGCTTATTGCACCAGAATTATTTTTCTAGTGTGATTACATATACAAAATACACTTCCTCTTACATATTTACAGTGGACAAATCCAATAACAAATCTAAATGTTAGGGCCACTATAAGAAATCATGGGGCCCCATACAGCCTTCCCAACAGCCCCTCACTCAGTGTCTCCCCATACACATGAACCCCCCACCTACTCCCCCCCCCCCCCCCCCACAGTGTCTGGTAAGGTGGCACAATAGATGAGGGTAAAGGACACAAAGTATGGCAGGCTTGCACAGTATAAGTAAGAGGAGGGTAGAATACATGGTGTAGGGATGGTGCATGGTAAATTGGCAGAGTAAAGGATGTGATAATGGAAGTGGGCATAGTACAGGGTCTGATGAGGGTAAAGGGCGCAGTACAGGTAAAGTGTATGTTAAGCTGGCACAGTACAGGTACAGTGTATAGTAAGGTGGAACACTATAGGTACAGTGTATAGTAAGGTGGAACAATACAGAGTATGATGAAAGTAGAGGGCACAGGACAGGGTCTGATGAGGGTGGAGGGTACAGTACAGGTACAATGTATGGTAGGCTGGTGCATTAAAGGATATGATGATGGTAAAGAGCACAGTACAGGGTATGATAAAGGTAGAGGGCACAATACAGGTATAGTCCTTGGTTAGGTGACACAGTCCAGGTACAGTATATGGACAGTTGGCACAGTACAAGGTAGGAAGAGGGTCGAACACAGCAATTTAAATGCATGCATATACCTGCTATATACCAAACATAAATTAGATAGATAAAATAGCAGGTCACACTCCCTAAACAGTCCAATGAATACAGTCCTACAGGGTAAAGTATCTAGTACACTGAGATTCTTGGCTATAAAAATGACAGTTACATATTCACTGAGAAGATGGGTCCTCCTGGTGGCACGGATTCTGAAGCAGGATGATAGGAGGAAACAGTGCACCACACCAATGTCATAAAAAATCAAGACACCTTTATTAAAATATAGCAACCACTCACAGGATTGAATGTAGCGCTCTCAAATTCACCCAGTAATAAGCCAGTCATCCCTGACTCTGTGGCCAGTGGTGGGGGATACAGCTGGATGGAAGACCCTCTCACAGATAGAAACAGACAGCTTTGCCTTTGTTTGAGTAGGTGATTCAGTTTAACAGCTGAACATCCACTTCCAGGTCCAAGGCAAAGCATTTCAGAGAACTATTTTAAAGGCTTGACAAAGAGGAGTTCAATTAACCTCTTCAAGTCTGGACACTTTTACCCCCTTCCTGTCCAGGCCAATTTTCAGCTTTCAGTGCTGTCACACTTTGAATAACAATTGCGTGGTCATGCAACACTGTACCCATATGAATTTTTTAGCATTTTGTTCAGACAGATAAAGCTTTATTTGGTGGTATTTATTCACCACTGGGATTTTTATTTTTTTGCTATATAAATGAAAAAGTCCAAAAATGTTGAAAAAAAGTGTTTTTCTTATAACATTTTGCAAATAAATAATCTTTCTTCGTAAATCTTGGACAAAATGTATTCAGTTATCTTTTTAGTAAAAAAAAAAAAACCCAAATTAGTTTATAACCAAAAATTATAATTAAAAAAAAATGTTTATACATTTTTATTTTATTTTTTAATATTATTCATTATATATATTTTTTTAACATATTGTCACCCTAGCAGTACAGTGTCACCATAGTGACACTGTACTACTTGTGGGGTGTGATGAAGATTTTTATATTTTTTTTAAACTGATTGCTTTTACACCCAAAAAAGCCTGAAAAAGCAATCATTTCTCCTTCTCTCTGGCTGCATTCTTGCAGCCATTGAGAAATACTGTGTGAGCTGTGATTGGTCACAGCTTGTCACATGGTACAAGGCTGTTGTAAATAGCCTTGTACCATGTGATCTCTGTGATCATTTACAGATTTCATACGTAGTAAGCAATGATGTCAGAAGTGACATCTTACGTACACCTATTCATGTGATCATGGATTGGCCAATAAGTGATCACATGATCGGGACCTCACACAGAGGTCCCGTACAGCGATCGGTGTTCCACTGAGTCCGGAGGACACAGCGGGCACCAGATCGCAGTGCCGCGCGCGCGCTCCCAGGGAGTGCACACAGTCCAAAATGGAGGGCGCCGTTTATGAAAGGCAACCCGCCCCTGCACTACCACCGTCTGGCTGTTTATATACAACGGCCGGACAGGAAGTGGTTAAAATGCTCTGAGGGCAGCACAGTAAGTGCCAAATGGCTGTGTGCTGCCCCCACACTACAGGTTGGGAGCCAGGGTTATAGGTAAAGAATTGCATTGGATATCCTGAAATCTAAAAAAATGATTGGTAATGAAAAATACATAAAATCCTAACATTTTAGAATGTTTGGGAAAGCTGTAAATTAAAAAGAAAATCTAACAAAAGGATTGAAAGGATTGAAAAAAATAGACCTACCTAGTATCCAGCATGGCCTGAAAAAATATAGCAATAAAATATAAAATTTAGCATATGCAGTACATCTCTCCAACAAATGCACAGTCCTCCATTTTTTGTGTCTTTAAAAACACTGGAAATGCAGGAAAATACCCGTTGATCTGTAGAAAAATTGCAGCATGTTCCTAGATTTCCGTTTAATGTAACACCATATTTGCTGATTGAAATCTCAGCATTGTTATGTGCCCTGCCTAGAGCCCTTCTGGACACTTTGAAACAGATCCTCTCTTCTCATCTACATAGCATACGTGGATTGTTCCACTGCATGTTCTGTAGGACAAGGAAACACTGCTTGGAATTTCAGCGCAGCAGAGGCATGTGAACAATTTTAGGAGCTGACTGGATTTCTGACACACTAGCAGTTATTTTCTATACCTGTTTACCATTATTATTAATAGTAAAAGAAAACCCCAAACTTTGGGTTGCTGCCAGAAAAGTAGAAAAGGGGAAATCTTCCAAAGAGTTCTGCTGATCTGGGGGACCCCAAGGATTTCCCTTAACCACTTGCCTACAGGGTACTTATACTCCCTTCTTGCCCAGGCCAGTTTTCAGCTTTCAGTGCTGTCGCACTTTGAATGACAATTGTGTGGTCATGCAACACTGTACCCATATGAAATTTGTATCATTTTTTGAGACAGATAGAGCTTTATTTTGGTGGTATTTAATCACCTCTGGGTTTTTTTTATTTTTTGCTAAACAAACCAAAAACAACCAAATGTTTTTAAATAAAAAAGTTTTTTCTTAGTTTTTGTTATAAAATCTTGTAAATAAGTGATTTTTCTCCTTCACTGATAATGAGGCTGCAGTGATGGGCACTGATAGGCTGCACTGATGGGCACTGATAGGTGTCACTGATGGGCACTGATGAGGAGGCACTAGTAGGTGGCACTGATGGGCATTGACAGGCATCACTTATGGGCACTGAAAGCCAGCACTCATATATGGCACTGATAGGCGGCACTGATAGGTGGCACTGATAGGCAGCGCAGCACTGACTGGCACTGATAGGAGGCACTGACTGTCACTGTTAGGTGGCACTGACTAGCACTGTTAGGCGACACTGATAGGCAGCACTGATGGACACTGATAGGCAGCACTGATAGGCAGCACTGACTGGCATTGATAGGCGGCACTGACTGGCACTGATAGTGGCACTGATTGGCAGCACTGATAGGTGGCACTGACTAGCATTGATAGGTGGCACTGACTGGCACTGATAGGTGACACTGAAAGGCAACTCAGATGGGCACTGATATGTGGCATTGATGTGTACTGGTAGGCACTGATATGTGGCATTGATGAGGCACTAATGGGCACTGGCAGGTGGCATTGATGAGCACTGACAGCAGACATTGATGGGCACTGACAGGTGGCACTGCTGGGGCTACACTGATCATCAGGGCACACTAATCATCAGTGCCCTGATGATCAGTGTACATGTCCCCTCTGAGGAATGCCGATTGCCGGCTCTCCTCTCCTCTCGAGCTGTCAGCGTGACAGCTCGTGAGGAGAGAAATACCGATAACCGGCATTTCCCTATTTACATGCGATCAACTGTGATTGCACACAGCTGATCACATGACTGAGCCGACATCTTCGGCTCTTTCCATTGATCAGTGATCCGCTGTGTCCGAGGAACACAGCACACCACCAATCGCCGCGCTGCGCGCTCCCGGAGCCACGCATGACCGGTTAGAGTGGGAGGACATCATATGACGTCCTCCCAGAACGAGAGAACCGCCTTGCGCCCGTGATTACCTTATATGGTGAGCGGGAGGCGGTTAATTTGCAGAGATATCCTATTATTCCTGTTTGGCTATGGGAGAGGAGGTGAAGAGAAATCTCTGGAATGGGACAAAAATGGTGAAAAAAAAATCTGACAGGGATTATAACCCTCCCTTGCTGTATCCAAAATGGAAATAAAATTGCCTATAGTTCTCCTTTAAGCTAAACAGAATTTTATTGTCATTCTTGCTGTAGGATGTACTGCAACAAAAGTGACATTTACAAAGAAGAGAAAACAGCAGACAGTCCCCTCCAAAGCTTCCCCAAATATATAGCAGACCTTCTTTTTTTTTTATTTTCAAAGAAGCCAGCAATTAAATATCTTTTGCTGACAAATGTAAGCACTTTTTTTCTTTATAAATGTTGGTGCTGCTGCAGCGCTCTGTGTATATCACAGAGATGATCCCCTTACCAAGGTGGATTATGACACTCCTCAAAATGTGCATTTACTATTTTTTTCCTAAAAACTTGTAAAGCATTGCATCTGCAATCCGCAAATCGATGGTGTAATCTCAGGCTCCTGCAAACTGTCAGTGTAGCTGTCTGCCTGTACCTCAAATAAAGGCAGGAAGTTACTTCAGTCCAGGAAAAATCAATGAACTATGAAGATGCTTACCAGCACCCGCATAGTTCATTGAGAAGTACAAGATGTCAGCAGCAAAGGCTGTTGCTACTTGTAGTCCATTCATTTATTCTGTAAATGACTGAAGTGGCCATGTGGGTGGGGACCCGCACAGCCATACTCTTTTCAAATAGTGGCAGCGGGTGCAGAGAAAAGATCCCCAGCCTGTGGGGGGAAGATCAGTGGGGAAGATCAGGGAGAAAGTATAGGAGCCGGAACGTGTTACACGCTCCACCCTAACAACAGGTGGAACCGGGCAGACTGACCATTCGAGAACTCGGGCACTGCCCGAGGGCCCGGGGTTAGTAGGGAGCCCCATGAAATGTCCCTGGTACCCTTTAAAGGCTTTTTTGGGTGTGCTTTGAGTGTGGGCAAGGACACAGGGGCCCCATGATCCCCTATTGCCCGGGGGCCCCATGAGTTGTCAGTCCGCCCCTGGGTGGAACATGTAACATATGCCGAAGGTAAACTTATCCTTCTAAAGACATTTTTATTGTTTCACTTTGAGACTTTAAAAGATCACTGCTCATGGCCAAGTAGATTTTTTTTTGGTTTGCATTGGTACATGCTACCCAGGCCAGTTCAAACATTCAACCCCCCCAGTGGTATTTTTTTTACACCCACTCGCCTATTAGCCCAGAAAATTGACAATTGAAGACTGTTATTAATTGGCAGAAATTTCTTAGTGCATTGGTGTACACTGAAGAGGATGAATGAACTATAAAATTAAAGCTAGTTAATCCTCTTCAGTGAGTGCCCCCACAGAAACTTTTATGGGGGCACTTTTGTGGGCTCACTCCCAAGGCACCCTGTCTTCATCTGTAGACACAGATAGGGTAGCTTTACCCCACCCCCCCATCACAGAATTTGATTGACAGTAGTGGGAGCCGATGGCTCCTGCTGCTATCCATTTGCCCATTGAGTAGAGAGAGAGCCATTGCTCTTGTGCACATCCTTGGATTGAGATAAGACTTAGGAAAGTATAGGGGATCGGGGGTGTGATCCACTGGTCTTCTACTTTCATGCATAGAATGTATAAAAGACTAATTTTTTTTATCTTCATGCATTCTATGCATGAAAGTAAAAAACCTCAAGTGTGCAGCTTCCCCCTCAGTCCCCCCTAATACTTACCTGAGACCGATCTCAATCCAGTGATGTGCACGAGAGCTTTGGCTCTTTCGGGCCTCTCCCTCCTCATTGGCTGAGTCGCAAGAACCAGAGTCATTGGCTCCCGCTGCTGTCAATCACAGCCAATGAGGAGGTGGCTAGGGAGCGAGCACGCATGAGCAGGTTGGTCTGAGGGCACTCAGCGGGGGCAAGGAGCACTGGTGGGGACCCAAGAAGTGGAGACTCAGGGCTGCTTTGTGCAAAACCATTGCATGAAGCAGGTAAGCATGATTTATTTGTTATTTGAAAAAAAAGTTAACCATTAGTATCACTTTAAGGCAAAAAAAGTCCAGCATTTAGGACTATTTTACTGCTTAACTTCAAGAAGATGTAAAAAAATATGCTTATACATTAACTAAAAAATCATGAATTATGTTTTTGAATGTATTTTATGTATGTTTTGGTATAGGTCTCTAAGAGCCATCTCCTCAAATGACCCCCTCACTCTGCTGCTACTTCTTCATGACCCTATCAACCCCAATGGGAGGTGTCCAAGCTGTATTGCTTAGCACAGAAGGAGAAAAGTGTTCAGTCCACCTCAAAGCTGAGCTGTCTGTCTGACCTGTGTAAATCCCAGGACTGGTTGGACAAACTTACAATCCTTTGGCAGGTAAAACTGCTCTCTTAAATGTGTTTTAGCTGTACATTTATCTTCATCCCTGAGGTTCTACTTTAAATGTTTAAGTAAAAAATAGAAAGAAAACTATGTTTGCATACAGTACAAATGTTTTTTTTTTGTTTGTACAGCTACTCATTTCTGACAGCTTTGACATTGTAAACTAGGCATTGTGCCAGACAGAAAATGTTCAGACTTTCCATGATAATCAATGGATATTTGAAGAACCCGTATCAGAAAACCAAAGAGGTTATGCATTTTATTTATAATCTTGATTATATATTATCTGGGTCACTGCTTTCGGCATCCAAATGTTGGTCTTGTGAGATTTAATCACACATGATTGGTAGTTTTTGGTGGCAATAACTTTAGCACACATTTCAAACTTTATTAAGTTTAGGAGTTGGTTCTGACCAGCTCAGTAGATTGTTTTAAAAATGGCCTGGATTCTTTCCTAAATGTACATATTATAACTGGATACGTATATTTATAGGTAAAGTTGATCCGATTGCCTCTTGGGGCTGAAGAAGGATTTTTTCCCCCTGAAATTGGATCTCCAAATTGGATCAAGCTGTGCTGGGATTTTCTTTTTTTTGCCTTGCTCTGGATCAACTGTAGGTATAAGATTGTGTATAAAGGATTGTATAATTTTTCCCTTTTAATGGTTGAACTAGATCAGGGGTGGGCAAACTTTTTGACTTGAGGGCCGCAATGGGTTTATATATTGGATCCGGGGGCCAGACCAAGAGTAGATGAATGATGTGTATGTGTCATCCATAGTAAGTATAGTAATATTCCCCCATAGTAAGCATAGTAATTAATCCCCCATATAGTAATTCATCCCCCATAGTAATTCATCCCCCATATAGTAATTCATCCCCCATAGTAATTCATCCCCCATATAGTAATTAATCCCCCATATAGTAATTCATCCCCCATAGTAATTAATCCCCCATATAGTAATTCATCCCCACATAGTAATTCATCCCCCCATAGTAATTCATCCCCCATATAGTAATTTATCCCCCCTATAGTAATTCATCCCCCCTATAGTAATTCATCCCCCATATTAAGTCCCCAAGTCCCCCCTGTGTCAATTTACTTACCTTTGCTCCGCGTGTTCCTCTCGCCGTGTTCCCGCGCCGTTCCGGTCTTCAGGGCGGACTGTGAGAGGAGCCTAGCTCCCTTCACGTTCGTCACGCTGCCCCACCTACACATATCCTGACAGCCATCCTGACAGTATCACGCTCCGCGGGCCGGATTAAAAGGTCCGCCGGGCCGTATACGGCCCGCGGGCCGTAGTTTGCCTATTGCTGAACTAGATGGATGGATGTGTGTCTTTTGTTTTCAACCGAACTAACTGTGTAAACTATGTAACTGTTGGGTATTTAGTTAGGATTAGTGTTATGGTCAAGGGTTAGAAGGTTAAAGTAAAACTTTGGGCAAAATAAAAAATGACATATGATACAGTCTGTCACTAGTATTATATGTATTCATTAATATATGTATTTATTTTGGAGTAGAAGCTTGTCCCTTTCAGACAGACCTGTTCTATAAAGTTAAAAAGCTAGCTTCCAGAAGCTATTTCGATGAATAGCAAAACATCGTTCAACATTACATAACAAGTTCAGTTGAATGTAACTATGTATACCGCTAGCTATATCATGGCCTGGATCAGTGAAAACCTTAACAGACCCATGTTATCTGATGATCCTGTCAGTGGGGCCCTCTGATTTCCCACTTCTTTTCATGGGGTGAAAAAACTATTCATTCTACAGTCATGGCCAAAAATATTGGTACCCCTGCATTTCTGTCAGATAATGCACCACTTCTCCCAGAAAATTGTTGCAATTACAAATGTTTAGGCATTCTCATGTTTAATTCTTTTGCTTGTATTGGTATGACACAAAAAAGTGGAGAGACAAAAAGCCAAATCTGATACATTCCACGCAAAACTCCAAAAATGGACTGGACAAAATTATTGGCAGCTTCTCAAAATTGCAAGAAATAATTGCATTTAACAGATCTTAATGTTCCTGTGTCCACTGTGCGCAACATTGTCAAGAAGATTACAGCCCATGGCACTGTAGCTAATCTCCCTGGATGTGGACAAAAGAGAAAAAGATTGCAACTAAGGATTGTTTGAGTGGTGGATAAAGAACCTCAATCAACTTCCACACAAATTCAAGCTGACCTTCAGGCACAGGGTACAATTGTGTCAGCTCGCAATGCCTAAACATTTGTAATTGCAACAATTTTCTGGGCAAAGTGGTGAATTATCTGACAGAAATAAAAGGGTGGCAATATTTTTGGCCATGACTGTACACTGACACAGAGCAGCTATGTCACCGTGTGGACAGAGTGATGTTAGATGGACATGAAAATTTGGATAGACTTTGCATAAGCAACAAACAAATGAAAGCCTCGTTCTAGCTAACTTCTTTGCAGCTATAACA